CATTACACGTGTGTGATGCATATGTGATATCATCAGATCAGTGAATCCGTTGAACATTAAAACATTACACGTGTGTGATGCATATGTGATTTATCAGATCAGTGAATCAGTTGAACAGTAGAAACATTACACGTGTGTGATGCATATGTGATATCATCAGACCAGTGAATCAGTTGAACAGTAGAAACATTACACGTGTGTGACGCATATGTGATATCATCAGACCAGTGAATCAGTTGAACAGTAGAAACATTACACGTGTGTGATGCATATGTGATATCATCAGACCAGTGAATCAGTTGAACAGTAGAAACATTACATGTATGCGATGTATACGTTATATTATCAGATCAGTGAACATTGAAAACATCATAGTATGTATTTGATGTATAAGTTGTAGTATCAGATCAGTGCATACATTGAACATCACACTAGATTACATTATATTAGATTGTTAATGTTGAGAGGATAAGCCTCACAAATATGCATTCCAAATTTATGTCGATATGCATTTGGATAGTGTGAGCGACACACCATGGTAATTACAATCACCGCATTGTATTACTGGGATTTAGGAACTGTATTATTACGAATAATCCGTAAACATGGCGGGATATTGTCACCTTATTACATTGATGAATTTTGCAGTTGTCAAGTTGACACCTGCATTTTCAACAACTTATGTCGATGGTATGTGTACAGTAGCGTCAATGGATGCCAATGAACAGAACATCGTTTACAATATGATGGAAACAAAATTCATGTACGTCTGTAGTCGCAATACATTACATTGTACACCGACAAAATAGTTGTGCAGCCAAATTGCCGAGCTAGTTGATCTGTTTAATCACCATAAAATTACTAGTAATCTTAAGAATAGCGTATATAATGACCACCAGATGTATTAGTTCAGTGTACGAACGAATTTATTACTGCATACGTTTGGCGACTGCAGTATTGTGATTAAATTGTCCTTTTTAAAACATTGCACCGGCAGATTTGGTGTGTCTTTAAAAGGTCATCTCTTTACGCTCGCAGAGTGTGCTACCATATATATTTCTGGTATGTTGTTTGGATATTCATATGACTGTAGTATGAGTGTAATGTTTGTTAGTAGCCGTGTGAATACTTTAACTTGTCTATGCATTAAGGAATCACTTCTATAAATCCTGCAACACTGTTATAACTGCGATGTTAACGTTAACGCGTGATATAAATTGGAGCTTTCCCTCGATGCGGCAATCAATCAGGTTGTTTTTCACTAGTTGTTGCCTTTGTGCATTACCTTAAATTATTCATTCAGATATTTATTTTTTTTGGAATTACCATATTTTATTTAAAAAAAAATAATAATGTCAGTGTGAGTATTCGTAGTTGCAACATACGTTGGTACGTGTGACCCAAGTTCATAATGTACTATATGATGATGTTTAGCCGTTTTGTATACAGGTTGTGAAAATGATGATTCTAGTCGTTGTTATCTTTGCAATCTGCTGGCTTCCGGTTCACGTCTACTTCTTACTGGGACGAAGCTACAGCGATGTATTGTACAGTCATCCTAATGCCCGTGAGATTTACATGGCTGTGTTTTGGTTGGGAATGAGCAATTCAATGTACAATCCGTTTATCTACTGTTGGCTGAACGATAGGTAAGTTGTCACCCACATCTTATTTATTCTGGTAATTATGCGATGTCGTTGCCTTTAGCATTTTGAGCTATGTGTTTGAAGGTTTAATTGCGACAGATTGTGGAGTTTATTGACGACATTACCGACTACTACCTAATGAGCATCCTGATTGGGACAAACTCAGAATACATTGAAAGACTTGTCAGTTTTTCATACAGCTTTACTCTTGTACAAGACAATCAATCCGTGTTTCGGGTGACATTTTCGTTAGCGCATTACTATGTCTAAATCCCTACTCCCTTCCCATAATAGGCAAGATTTTTTAGTTTTTTCGTACAATTAAATTGAATTACTCTCCATCATATATTACAACCATTTCAAGGCTTCACTTCATTCATTTATAGCTTTAGAACAGGTTTCAAGAAAGTTTTCCAGTGGCTTCCGTGTGTACACTATACCTCGGACGAATGGAACAAATCGTTGGGATACACGAAAGTAACATACAAAAGCCGAGTACATGACGTGTCCGCGACCAGAAGTAAGATGATGTCACGAGTGTGAAAGCATAGCTTGTTTCTGGTTGGTCGTTTTGTCCCAATGGTTATTCCCCCTATGGAATGTGATTAAATTACATGACCATTTTTGAAAGCATTACGTTAAAACACGAGAGCACGAAGTTTTGGTTCTGTGTCTGAAATGCTATTTAGTAACCGGTTGTCTGTTCATTTTAAAGTTATGGGGAAGTAATAGAATGAATGAGCTGCTTGGCTTTAAAAAGTTACCTGACAAAATTAGTTCATATAAGTTAGTATATATGTTTATATATTTCTTTCATAAATCACACTTCTTATCATTCAATTTACTTGTATTAATTTAGTTGCATATACAATACTTATTGTATTCTTGAATCGTTTTGCCTGTTTCCACAGCACCTTTCATCATGGCTGTTCACTATTTTTCTTGTAAAATATCCGAAATCTTGAATGCACTTATTTGGCATGTGACATTTAAATCCCCAATGTCTGCGCATCCTATCAACCAATCAGAATCCGGCTTATGCTTCTGGACTCGTTTTAGTAAATTACGTAATGCATGCATGGCAACCTAAGTCTTCACACATCATGTAGATATTTAAGTGAGCAAATGTATTTTAGTATTGTTGTATAGCATGATATATATTATATATTATACCATTATTGATGGTGCCTCTGAGATTTAAAATTGCCTTTCGATGATACATATCAATTGGATTTAGTGATCTACAACGAATCAATTTACAACGAATCATTTCCATTTAATATTTCTTATTTAATAAATATGGCGCAATCGTTGACGATATTATTCAATACGAGATATAATGGTTCAGTGTGTTATTATGAGTTCATTATGTTTCTGCACATTCCTTACTACATACATTATGTTCACATGCGCACCGCGTGTGCCGCAACCACTCTGAAGTGTCCGTCATTTATTGTACACACTTTTAAGTTAGTATCCATATACCCCATCATATGCCGTTCACGTGACCATGTCACCATGATTACGACGACTAATATAACTTAAATACGTAACGTCTGTAATGTTCATAATCGTGTGCGGTGATATAAGATGAGAATTCTATTTCGCACGTTGGTACTACGCGCTCAATAGGTAACAGTGAGAATGTGTGTAGAAACGAATACGGAGTTGATCCATGCCACCTCTAATTTTGAAAACCGAATACACGCGAGTGCACTTGAAAGAAAAAAAAATGCCTGAGACGAACACTAACCATTTCGCAGACTAACTCATTTGCGTTTTAGTTTACCAAAAACTAAATGCATTCTCGAAGTCGTTCTTCAACGCACACGGTCATCACATTTTAAAAGAAGTTGCTATACTTTTCATCAAGATTTTACAATACTTCAAACGTAAGAATTTACCTATCAAGTTGTGGTGTAATTATTAAGCAAAATGGCGGATTTGATGACGTATGGCGATATTGACGTATTCAGACAACATGGCGGATATGAAGACTCACTTGGTAGAAATGTCGAAATCAAAAATAATATGTGATATGGCAGTGATGTTTTAGGTCATTGTCCTTGAATAAGTGAAATACATTTATTTGCTTACAGATTCCGGCGCGGCTTCAGGAAGGCCCTTCGGTGGCTGCCGTGTTTCAAATGGGCGCCAGGTGAACGGGTCGATTCTGAACGACCAGCAACTCTGAGCGGCACGTATAGTAGCAGTCAGAGCATGAAGTTGATGAGGAACGGGTCAGACATGGCAACAACGGTCGACGAATCCATGTTGGAGAACATGCTTTGAACTATAACAATTGTAATGATCTTTGCTTTTTGTCGAAAGAAAGTACCACGACATCGAAGCAAGCAAATGACACCTTGCCACATACTTACCAAAATTAACATAATTACACGTGTTTCCCGGAAAATTAAAATTCTTTGTTACTTTCGGCCAAATATAATGGATGACACAAGACGTATATTTTAAGCTATATTTGTATGGTACGATGCCCCGATGGTAATTAAGGTGTTATTTTGATGATGGTTAGAAAAGAATTTTGTTTTTGTTAAGTATATATGGCAATCAAATAATGGAGTTCGGTAAACGGTGATTAAATAACACTAATGCTGGAAATTAACCATATAACACACACTTCGCCACGGTCAGCAAACATGCGTTTCAACAAGCACAAAGAATATATTGACCTCTATAGCAAACACGACGCATGGAGCTGCGCAAAATTTCTTTCCGAGTGCCCTACTACAACGTTGTTATATTGTGGGCTTCATAGAGTAGCACAGTAACTACAGATGAATTGTTAATATGTCACATGCATGGTCTTGTCTTGAATACTGTACAGTATGTTTATGACATAATTTCACATTCTAGTGCCTTTTAGGAAAACATGTATAATTGGATCATTTACTTGAAACTACATATTATTTTTTCATTAAATGGTTAATGTAGGATTTAAAAAACTAAAGAAACTATAACAAACTAAAGACAAATATAACATATATACATACAAATTTAGTTATTTGTGGTATATGCAATGTATATTTCGCATTTGCATCTCTAATACTGACTACAATTCAGCTAAATTGTTTGTATCTCAAGCCGTTATTTTACAAACATTTTTGATATAGAGAAGCATTCATCACATTCCTTCACAATTTAATAACATATTTGTAGAATGATTTGTAAACTATATTATAACACTTTGGAAACATAATGTTAAATGGATGACAGTAATACATATCTAATATATTAAAGCAACTAAAAATACTGTTTGAAGCGACTGCTGGCGATGGATGGTTTGCCGATCATGAATAATCGTTTCTTATCATATGAGTTTTACCATCTCAATTTGTCACTCTGTTGACGAGAGAACAAATAGTCATACCTCGAACAATCATGACACATAGTAGAATTGTCCAATTACAAGTGAAAGAAGACAAACAATGTGTTAATAAGCCAGTCCAGACTTCTTTTTAATACAACATCTTCGTCTGTTCTAACTAGTATTCCAGTTAGAACTAACTAGTAAACGCATACCAAATTCATTTTATGTGTAACATAATACTATGAAGAAAACTGTCGATCTTAATATTGGTTTATTAAGTATTTAGCAATCTATACACAAATTGTCATAGCATATTCTGTTTCAAAAATAAATAATGGATTAAGGAACGGTAATTTAGGATATTTTCTGCATTCTGAGTACATTTTGACATCGACTATGTAAAAATTCACGAAGCATTGGTATTAATCTTTTCCCTAAATCAATAAAAAATTTCAGGTACATATGAGCGATATGTTGATATTCCATATAAATATAATTACCTGTATTTTCCGCATATCATTAAATATACCATATGGCCTGTTAATGAACCAAAGACGACGACAAAATTGTGCTATATATTCTTAAAAAATAAAATGCCTATCGTGTCATCTTTTTATCTGTAACGCTCGACCTTGATTACAGGAAGTAATATTTTCTTTGTTTGAATTTATGATAATTAAATGACTTGATACGTCATGAGATATTAAACATTGATGATATGTTTGGTAAAGGGTTTGTTCAGTAAAACATTTATACAGGAATATGACGACTCAAGGATGAGTAGACATTTTATATATAATAATTATATATTTAATAATATGCAACTTATTTACTCTTAACAAGTCGTGTTCACTAATTTTCATTGCGAACTATTCAAATTAGTATTCTTTCACCATATTAAAATTATCCACACAAACTTACATTTTTGTCAAAGCTAGCAGTCAACCTTAGTGATTTGAATAAAACCGGATACATTAAGGTTTTGTATTTATTAGTGCCATCTTGCATATCTGCTACATTTAATTTCAAACAATTGTAGGTATGTTGAGCATATTCACTCACTTCGGCAGTGAAACAGTAGGTTCTATTGTTATTTTTTGTTATGTTCAGGTTTATTTTCTTAATGAATTGTACTTATTATCGAACATGGCGAAATTAAACCTAGCCAGTACTTAATGCATTTACATTAGTTTGCAACATATGTCCAATATAAGATAGTTTGTTTAATTCAATTGATATAGAACACTCAATTTGTGGTCATGGTTAATAATGTGAAGCATATCTGCTTCTATGTACACAATCTATGCATGGTATAATAGTCAATGATTTGATTAGTTTAGAAGCGCTTCATGTGTATGCTTTGTGACTGAATGTATTTATTATCACGATTGGTAGCATATGTTTAATTTTCTATCACACTGTAGTCAGAAAGTCGGAGAATCTACCAAATGTGTGCTTCTGATAGAGCAAATACAGCATTTAGCTAGTTAAAATTATAAATATTTAAGGAAATAATGACCGTATTTGATAATGATGGTGATTTTGATATATATTCGGTCATATATCTTGTCAGACAACAGTACAGTTATGGATATTATTGAGGTTTCATGACAATAAATATTCATCTGATACATTAGTCATATCACATTGTCAGATGCCTTCATTGTAGCACTGGTTACTATCTGCAGCAGTGCTTAGTACATTTCAGTTTTGCATATTAAGAAGAACACATGACAAATATATATAATATTTTATTGAAGCCAGTCAAAAATTGTAACAAGCAACCTCTTGAATGAGATAGCTCCGCTGTTAGCAGTGCACATTTTAATTAAAGAACTGAAGATATCATTAGAAAATGAACAAATCTGAGAGAGGTGGACCCGAGGTTCCTTTATGTATAATATCAAAGAAATCTAACTTGCAGTTTCCAACAAGAATTCGAAAATATCACTTTTTACCACAAATTACAGAAATATTCATCGAAATTAGAGAATTGAAGAAAGCATCACGAAATAAACAAATCTGAGGGAAGTCTACGTGTAGTACATATATGTATATTATCAAAGCAATCAATCGAAAATATCACTTTTCACCCAAAATTACAAAAATATATTCATCAAAAATAGAGAATTAAAGATATCTTCACGAAATGAACTAAATTTTAGAGAGGTCTACCTGAAGTACCTATATATATAATATCAAAGCAATAGGACTTGCCGTTTTAACAAAGAAGTCGAAAATATCACTTTTTACCATAAATGACATCAAAATTAGACAATTAAAGATATCATCACGAAATGAGCAATCTGAAAGAAGTCTACCTGTAGTACCAATATATAAAATATTAAAACAATTGGAGTTGCAGTTTTAACAAAAAGTCGAAAATACCACTTTTTACCAAAAATGACAAAAATATTCATCAGAATTAAAGAATTGAGGGAATCATCACGAAATGAACAACTCTGTGGGAGGTCTACCTGAAGTACCTATATGTATATAATCAAAGCAATCAGGCTTGCGGTTTTTAATAAGAAGTCGAATATATCACCTTTTACCAAAAAATATTGTTCAAAATTAGAGAATTAACGATATCATCACGAAATGAACAAATTTGAGGTCTGCATGTAGTACCTATATGTATTATATCAAAGCAATTGGACGGTTGTTAACAAGAGATCGGAAATATCAAGTATCACGAAAAATGGCAAAAATATTCATCAAAATCAGAGAAATAAATAAATCTGAGAGAGATCAACCTGAGGTACCTATATGTATAATATCACAGCAATCAGACTCAGAAATGAACAAATCTGTCAGAGGACGACCCCAAGAATCTATGTTGCAAATATGAAAGCATTTGGTTTAAAGGTGTTGAAGAAAAATGTAAAAAGTTGACTACAGACTACATACTACAGACACCATATACAAACTTCACAGACACATCTTTCAACAAATCAAACTATCGGTATTTTCGAGAACGACGAGTATCACATAACAGTCGCACAGAAGTCGGTCTAATGAGCTCTATCTCTTCAATTTAGTGGACACACGTGGAAAAGGAAGGGCGATAGCAATATAAGCGATGACGTCGTATTGGATGGACACGCATCAAAGTGAAGTCAAATTATAATTAGCATATCTAACAATAGTGATTCCTAATCGTTCTTCCAAGAACTGTGTTTAAGCAGATTGTTCAGTGGGTCATTTTCGGAGTTGGCAATTCCTCACATACTCATATTGTTGAAGTTATGGATCAGCATACAAGTACTATGCTCGCACGTAGACAAATCCAGTAGATGAATGTTTCCAGGGAAACGCATCGTCCAACCAGATTACCCGAACGGTGTAATGAAAATTGCCACCCAAATTTGCAAGGCAAACCCCCGAAATGATTCAACACATCACACGGAAGCCGGAGAAAAGGTTAGTGTTCAAGATTTAGATACAGAAAAAAGACATTGACATACAAACAATTTCATATAAGGGAAGTATATATAAGAATGCGCTAGCCTTTCCTTCAAATTCTTCAAATAGAAGCAGTATTTATTGTAATGGGTAACTTTTTATTCGCGAAACATGACATGAAATCAGGCTAATCCTAATGCTGAAACCTCCGTCAATTGACAGACCTAATATAACATTGACTGTCAAAAAACGACCCTCTTACCTGTTATTGATGAATTGAGAAAGGTGGTATTGTCTCTCGCCATAAACCATAATTTACACCAAATTGAAATGATGTCGTTATGGGCACGACTTATCTTTGAAACCATGTTTCGCTGATGAGTTGCAGATGTGAGAGACATGGTAGCACAGTATCAAATCAAATACTGTACCAGCGTCAAATACTGATAAAGTAATATTATTGTTAGTAAATTATTCTATAAAGGTACCTCATGGCTTGCTTGGGCCATTGTGCCTTACATTGTTGTAGGAGGAGAACCGTTAGGTGTAAAATCAT